CTATATGAATCTCCCCCCATCCGCACCCCGATGAATATTAACACATACACATGCACACACCATATCCCCCTATCCTGCCTACCTGGTTCGGCTCGTCAAATCGCCAAATCGCGATGTCCCTTACGTATAGTTTGCTGTTGCTGTGCGTCCTCGTGTGTGTGTGTGTGTGTGTGCGTGTGTGTGTAGTCAGTTCAATACCAAAACATTAACAACTACACAAACAATACAACACATTTCATTGTACCATTGAAACATAACTCATACGATCGACACATGTTCTCTCCTTCGTTTTGTCTGACATTGGAGTGATCAGATCAACGATAGATTCATTCACGAATGTTATATACACTAGCAACCAACAGACTAAAGGATTTGTGGTGCTAGCGTTACTGGTATTGTCTGACATATCATTACATGCATCATGATATCATGGCTATATAATGCTGGAGCAGGGGGAACAATCATTACATTCCGTCCGATGCACGGTTACCACTACTGGATGAGCTCTAAGGAGAACGAAACTCAAGTCTATGGTGCTTCCCACCTGTGCGGTTGAGGGGACGAACCGAGTGTTGTTGCACATGAAGGATGGTCAGCTCACGTTGAGAACATGTATCCCACACTACTCACAAGTAACTGTGAGTGATATGTGAATTAAAAAAGGATGACCTAGCAGGTTCATTTGGGAAGGTAGAGACATTTGCAAAGTCGACCTGACTTGGTGAGAAGCTTTCAAATGGAGTTAACACATAATCACCTATGTCTCTTTTCGTTGATGTCCCTGTAGACAACATCTGGAGTGTGGTGGGCAATCAGTAACGGTTGCCAAACTATCGCACCGGATGATGCATGTTCGAATCCCAGTACCACTGCTTAACTTTCCCCATTTTCGGTATATTTAATGGCAGCCCTCTGACTGGACACTTCCCTACTGTGCCCGAGAATTGTATCATGGTATGCAGTAAAAGTAAGTAAATTAATATAAAAAATATCAAAAAGATATCAGTTGTGATCAGGCCCAGTTTGGGCTAGTTGGCACACGCGACGTCCATGCAATTGTTTCGAACTTCAAAACCGGGATGGCACGGTGAATATGCCCTACTGATGAACTCTAATGAGTCTGTGGTGCTTCCTGAATGCATGGTTTGACTAACTGAACCACGGATCATGTGTAGAGTTGAAGCTTGAAGGGAGATGATCAAATCAATAGCGGCTACGTTTGAACTCTTGGAGTTCAATAGAGCGAGTTATTGCTTAATCTGAAATTCATTTTGTTTGCATTGTGGGCTTTTGTACTACTCGGTCGCCCAGTCCAAAGTAGGCCCAGTTCGAGGATGCACTCTAGCTACAAGGCAGCAGTACTGTTCCAGATAAGCCGGTGACCGGTCGGTTGGTTCATTCGCCTTCTCTGGACGACCTTGTCGGGTTGATGGAATTCGACAACGGGCAATGGCCGTATTCAGTGGCGGGCCGCACTCGCCACCTCACAACGCTGTCATAAGATACATGTGGTGTTTTGTGTGGAGAACCCTTGCCAAGTAGC